CTCTCTGTCTCTGTCTGTCTCTCTCTCCTGTGCCAAACAGACTTGTCACCACCACACAAACCCTTTAACATGGACGTGTTGCAAGTCATCATCATCATAATCATCATAATAATAATAATAATAATCCTTGCATTTGATACAGCGCTTTTCACGTCGGGAGGACGTCCCAAAGCGCTTCACAGAACACACTGTAAAGTGAATTGACTGTATATTTGTGGGCGAACGCGGCAGCCAATTGCGCACAGCAATGTCCCACAAACAGTCGTGGATTCAAAATGACCAATTTATTATTGTTTTTGTTTTTTTGGAGGGATTATTATTAGGCTCTGTGTGGAGTAAGGAAACTTGCCCAAGGTTTCGCCCTCTGCCGGGAATTGAACTCAGGTCTCTCACTTGCAAAGCGAGTGCTCTAACCACTGAGCTACAGGACTCCACGAAAAAAGAGCTGGTGGGGGGTGGAGGGGGCGTGGGGGGGGGGGGGGCGCGGAGTAGCCAGTTACAGTGCAGAAAGTCAGTGTTTACACACACACCAGCTGGGGAATCCACGCTGGGGAATAGTGAAGTTGGAGCTGGTTTGAGTTAGAGGTTACAGTACTGATTTCTACCTTAACCAAAGCCGATAAAGTGGACGTTTGGGTATTTTACCCGATTGATGGCTGTTGCTTTCATTCAAGCTTTCTGACTTCTTATAAATAATAATAATCCTTGCATTTGATATAGTGTCTTATCAATTCTTCAAGACGATAACAACAGCTTGCATTTATGTAGCTCCCTTCACACGGAGTAGTGTCCCTGAGCACTTCTCAAAGCGCTTCACAGAATGTACGTTAGAATTAATTGACCGTATATTTTTGGGGGCAAAACACGGCAGCCAATTGCGCACAGAAGTGTCCCACAAACTGTCGTGGATTAAGTGTCCAATTTTTATTATTTGTATTTATTTTTATTCCCATAAATACATCTGCTCTCCTCTGATAACAGGGCTTATAGGGGTGGGGGAGGGGATGGTGGTTCACAGGTAAGTGTATAAGCCTCTGAGTCAGAAGGTTGTAGGTTCAAGCCCCACATCGGGACTTGATATCACATCGTCTAAGCTGATGTTCCAGTGCAGCGCTGGGGTGAGCCCTGCCTTGTCATAGCTGCCGTCCTTTGGACGAGTTGTTAAACTGAGCATTCTGTCTGTGCCTGTTCAGGTGGACATTAAAGACGCTACTCCCCCATCCAACAACTCACTCGATTGATCACTCAATCCACGACTGCTGTGCACAATTGGCTGCTGCGTTTCGCCCACAGAATATACAGTCACTACACTTTACAGTAAATCCCATGAAGCGCTTTGAGACATCCTTCCAACAATATAAGGTGTTATACCAAAGGCAAGGATTATTATTGAGACATAACACTGCGTCTCAGGTGGATGTTAAAGATCTCGCAGTGCTATTTGAAAAAGAGAAGGGAGTTTTTCTCTCTCTCTGCGTCCTGGTCAACAATCCCCCAGATAAAATCACTCACTCACTTCATGAGTGTTTTTTGCGGGACATCACTGTGCACAAATCTACTGCCATATTCACCCACAAAATACACAGTCACTACAGTTTAGAGTAAAATTCTGTGAAGTGCTTTTGAGGTGTCTCGACCACATGACATAAGGCGCTGTATCAAAAACTGGGATTATTATTGTGATTATCTGGAACAACAACAACTTGCATTTATATAGTACCCTTCTCAGGGGTAGCTTATCTACAGAACATCCAGAAATTGGCTAATTCTTACAGCACAGCCTTAATTCAGAAGCTTTTTTACCCTTTAAGTTCTTTGAGAAAAATACATAAAACATTTCTATTTATCAACGGAATTCAACTAATTACCAAATCCGGCAAACTTTAAAGTGCTGCATAAATAAATTTCTCTCTCTCTCTCTCCTCTCTACCCACCAGTAGAGAGAAACTCAAATGCAAGAATTGTTATTCTTATTATTTAGTCAGACCCCATCTGCAGTACTGTATTCAGTTTTGGGCACCATACCTCAGGAAAGATATATTAGCCCTGGAGGGGGTCCAGTGCAGGTTCACCAGAATGGTACCAGGCCTAAAAGGGTTAAGTTACGAGGAAAGGCTGCGAAACTGTAAATCGTACAGCACAAAAAGAGGCCATTCAGCCCATTGAGTTTGTGCCGGCTCTTTGAATACAGCAATTAATGTCAGTCCCACTCCCCAGCCCTTTCCCCATAACCCGTCAACCCGTCCTCCTCAAATACCCGTCCACTGCATTTTTAAAAGTTGTTATCGAATCGGCCTCCACCGCCCTTTCAGGCAATGCGTTCCAGCATTCCCTTGAGTTTAGAAGGTTGAGGAGGATATGATTGAGTTATTTAAGATGATAAAGGGATTTGATAGGGTAGATACAGAGAAGTTATTTCCTCTGGTGGGGGAATCAAAACAAGGGGCATAGTCTTAAAATTAGAACCAGGCCACCTCAAAAGGTGGTAGAAATCTGGAATTCTCTCCCCCAAAAGGTCATGGATGCTGGATTCATCCACACATTCAAGAGTGAGATTGACAGATTTTTGGTAGGTCAGGGGATTAAGGGATATGGGGAGAAAGTGGGAAATTGGAATAGAGAGGATTAGTTGAGGTACAGATCAGCCATGATCTAATTAAATGGCTGAACAGTTTCGATTGGCTGAATGGCTTAGTCCTGTTCCTATGTTCCTCTTATTATACTGCCACAGGATCTTTAACGTCTACCTGAACCAGCGTAGATGGAAACTAAGATGAACCTCTCACCCAAAGAATGGATACACAATAACACTTACATTTGAACAGATATTACTTTTCTTAATAGGTTTGAGCTTCCTATATTTCGAGTCCTGCAGCTCAGTGGTTAGAGCACTCGCTTTGCAAGTGAGAGACCTGGGTTCGATTCCTGGCAGGGTGAAACCTTGGGCAAGTTTCCTTACTCCACACGCCTGATAATAATCCCTCAAGAAAAAACACATAATAAATTGGTCACTTTATTCCATGACTGTTTGTGGGACGCTGCTGTGCGCAATTGGCTGCCGCATTTTGCCCACAAGTATACATTCAATTCACTTTACAGTATATGCTGTGAAGCACTTTGAGACACCGAGAAGACATGAAAAGCACTATATGAAATGCAAGGATTATTATTATTATTAATAACCACTTTCTGTAGGAGGTTGAAATTTTGTTCACCAGGCATTTTGACAAACCATTGCCGAATCATCTGATTAACAGTCCCAGTGACACCGATGACCGCAGGAACCATGTTTTACGTTGCCACATACGTCCGGATTCAATTTGGAGATCGAAATATTTCCTGATATTCTCTAGTTCCTTATTTCTTACATTGTAATCACAACCACATCAATAATACATGTACAATCTATTTGATTCTTTATGATAACTGGTTTGTTACAGCTGGTTTCTTGTCTCCATATACAAGTTATTGTGATGTTGTTTCTCAATGTCACTTTTACTGGTTGATGTATTATCATGCGATCTTAATTTCCTTACAGTAACATTGCCCCTGGCTACACACACTGCAGCCTTCACTAAACAGTATCTTATCACGAGAAAGCAGACCACATAGACAGCTTTTAAATGGAATTTTTTTTTGCTCAGCCAGGTGTCAGGAACATACGGAAACCCATCACCATGATTGGTAAACCAAGCTGAGATTTCCATGCGAGCCACATGGAAATCCCAGAGATAGATTGTTGGAATGGAAATACACACTCTCTCCCTGGAGGGACGTATCCTGTTTACCTAATTCCGGAAAGTATTAGGCACAGGTTGGCAAGAGCCAAGACTTGGGGACCACAGAGTGTGTGTTGGGGTAAATACTGGAGTCGAACCAACTAAAAATACATAGCTTGCCATTAATATTGCTGTCCAGCCAGCTTTCCTGCTGCTTATCCAGCTAGGACCATTCTACCCTTTTAGGGCTTTGGCTTGCAGGGTTAACAGGAGCTGAATGGGAACACTCCCTGCCCTCAGTGAATAATTTGCCCTTCCAGGTCCTGCCAGTGAGCCAGGCTGGGCTGTCATCAGCAGTGCCCTGGAATACTGTCTTATTTGGGTCTGTGATTGTATAGATAACACACTAAGTCAAATACCAATATTTTCAACCCACAAGGTCAACCACCAAACCAGCCAAAGAATAAGAGTATGTTTTTATTATTGGTTAAAATTCATTGTCTGGATGTTTCAACCAGTTTGAGGTTTTAACACTTGAATCCATTGAATTAGGACAAGTTTGTAATAAACACTCTAGGTCTGGAGAGATTTACTTCTTTTAATATAGAAAAAAAACTCGCAGGAAAACAGCTCCTTATTAAAATCGTATTGTACATTACTTATGCTGATGCAGGTTTAATTTCTCACAGAGCTTCTTTAATGTGGGCCTTTCAGACCCACGAAAGAGAATGTTTCTGAGATTATAAGATTAGACGAAGGATAAGAAAGCTTTTTAAATCCAGTCCAAAGGTGATGCCGGTTAAGTAACATTTCCAACAGTAGGACTCAGTTTCCTGATACTCAAAATTCCGCAACTGTGCAAAAATTTAGCAACATTAACCCGAGTTCCCCATGTGAAGACTCAGGGAACAATCACACACACACACACAGGGGGCAAGGCAAGGCTTCAGTGGTTACAGAAACCATGTTTGTTAATCAGGCATATTGGCAGAAATGTGAGTTACTGGGAGAGGGAAGGCGGAGGGAGGGGCTGGGGGGGAAAGAAAGGAGGGAGGGGCTGGGGGGAAGAATAGAGGTGGAGGAGAGGGAGGAGGAGAGAGGTGGAATAAGTGGAGGGGGTAAAGAGATGGAGGGGGTAAAGATGTGGAGGGGGGACAAGGGAGTTGCAAGAAGTGGAGGGGGGAGAAGAGCTGGAGGGGGGAGAAGAGGTGGAGGGGGGAGAAGAGGTGGAGGGGGGAGAAGAGGTAGAGGGGGAAGCGGGGGAGGGCTTGCACTGGCCTTTCACCGGCAGCCACACTCATCCACCACCATGTCGTCATAATGTCTGAGGACCACATTGTCGTTGTTATCATAGTAAAGCATGGAGATGGGGGAGAGTCTGATGGGCACACAGCAGGGCTGGGGAGTGTCTGTCGGGTGGTTGGAGTGGACCAGGGTCTGCAGGATGGCGTGGTTGGTGCCGTTCAGCCGGTCGCTCAGGGGGAAGGGGCATTCCCCGTAGCAGTAGTTGGCCATGTACCCCTGGGGGGCAATGACCCAGTGCTGCCAGCCCACGTCCCGGAACTGCAGGTATAGCCTCCTCCGCTGGCACACGTGGCTGAAAACTGCGGGCAGAGAAAAGACACTTCTCCTGCGTCTGGATGCCCGGCACTGCTGCCTGTTCAGGGTTACTACCACCAGAGTCACCTTTAGCCCCTGAGCCAGCTCAGCGCAGCGCCCCCCACCCACATCAACCGCAGCCCCAACCCTAACCCACGCCCCGAGCTCAGCTCCAACATCAACACCAACGTCAGCCCCAGCTTCAGCGCCAACCTCTGTGCCCTCGCCACCCATCTGCCCAGCCTCCTCCCCGGCTACCTGCAAGGTCAGGCCCAAGTTTCTGCCCCCCCCTCTCCAGGAGGCAGCCGCCTCAGTCAGATTGAAGAGCAGGGCCAGGTGGACGGGCTGGAAGGACTGGGAGATGAGGAGCTTGCGGCTGAGTTCCATGCCCCGCAATCCGGTCCCCAACACTTTGTGGATGCTCAGCGTGTAGGAGGCCCCCTTGGATCCTGGTGCAGGGTAGCTATGGTGCTGGAATCGCAATTCCAGCTGAGCCAGGGTCAACTCCTCCACCTCCTCCAGCACCGACAGGTTAAAGTACAACCACTCGTCAACACACACAGGGGGTGTAGGCTCCAGCTCAGGCCCAGGGACACAGTCACCTGCAATAGAGAATCAGTGGTTAAGGAGTTTACAAGACTTGCCTACACTACAGTTCAAAGATGGCAGATATTTTCTCCTACCTCTGTGACCCGCTCACTCCATATCAACCTGTCCGCTCTCTCCGCTCAGCAGACTCTGGCCTGCCCCATGTCCCCTACCCACCCCAATAACAGTGTCGGCCCTTTAGAACTCCATCCCACAGTCCCTCGCCTTGCTCCCTCCCTTGCCTCCTTCAAGGCGCATCTCAAGACCCTCCTCTTCGACCATGCCTTCGGCCAGCCTCCGAACCCCATGCTCTTACCCCTACCCACCCTGCCCTCTGCCCCTCCTGATCCCAACTCCCTACCCAGGTCCAAACCCCCGACTGTCAAGCACCTTGAGATGTCCTCCTGACATGAAAGGCGCTGTGTAAATGCAAATTTCAATTGTATTTTGTATATTCAGTTTCAATTGGAGATGAGGCACAGATCAGCCATGATCTAATAGAATGGTGGAACCAGGCTCGAGGGGCTGAATGACTCACTCCTGTTCCTAAATAAATTCTTATGTCGATTAATTTGTATTGTGTACTCTACATATACACTACAGAGGAATCATGCAGCATAGTAATAAGAGCACTCGCCTCGCAAGCGATAGGACCCTCGCTCAATTCCTTAGGCAAGTTTCCTTACTCCACACTCCGCTGTTTGCCTAGCAGTAAGTAGGAACTTGATTTTTAGTCGATTGGCAGATTGCTTTCCAATGTTAATAAACCCTCAAAAACAATTTGGTAACTCAATCCACGATTGTTTGTGGGACACTGCTGTGCATAATTGGCTGCCATGTTTCGCCCACAAAATATACAGTCAATTTTCTTTTTACAGTATATTCTGTGAAGCACTTTGAGATGTCTTAATGCGTTGAGGCCCTATACCAAATCCAAGGATTATTATTATTAAAAGGACACAGTCACAATGAAATCTGTTGTGAACAGTATTAACTAACTAGCTAACTAACACCGCCATATTGCGCACACAGACATGAGATGTTTTCACCCACAAAATATACATTCATTTCACTTTACAATACAATGTAAAATTACATTTGTATAGCTATTCTGTGAAGCAATTTTGAGATAGCTCGTGATAAGACACTATATCAAATGCAAGCATTAAAATATTATTATTCTAAGGTGAATAATCACCTTATGTAACTAACTAACCAATAGACATTGGTAAAGACTTTGACCAGTTAAGCGTTAGCAAGCGAGCGCTGTGTAACTTACCCAGGTTCGGAAGAACTCTTATGATGTTGCCCTCCACACCGTACTCACTGACCCGACACAGCCCAGCCCCAGCCCCACTCTCTGCCCACTCTCTCTGGAAGATCCTCCAGAGTTCTGATGGGACAGGCCTAGGGTTGGAGGGCTGGGGTCTGCTCGACAACCCCAGGGCTTTCAGGAAAGCTTTCTCTTGGATTTTGGGCTCTGTGAGCCCATGTGTGTGGACAACACAAAGCCATGTCAACAACAGACACCAACTAGAGAGAGGAGACATCTTGTTGCTTCCAGCCAAAGCGAGAGAGGGAGAGGGAGGGAGTGGGGGAGGGGAAAAGAGAGAGGAAAAGAAGGAATGAGAGAAAGGCATTAACCAATGCTGGTGGGGATTGGGAGATGGAAATGGGAACCAGTCTAGATCCGCTGTAATGATCAGCCTCCCAGTGAGAGACTATATTAGGCTGTTAATGGCTCATTACATCCTTGCAATTATCATTTCAATGAGAGATCTGGATCGCATTGTCACCTCCTTGGGACCAGGGCTGGTTGGTGATTGCCTGCTGGCTACTAACAGCACCAAGGGGATTGGATATTCAGAGCAATCTACTGCCCGTGATGAAAAATAAATATGACTTCATAATGAATCCAGTAAACATAGCCAGCTTGCCAATGAACAGTTATAAATATTGAAAAAGAATCTTGCATTTGATATAGTGCTCCATCACATTATTATTATAATACATTGTCAATTATAATAACAACAACTTGCACTTATATAGTGCCCTCCATGCAGGGTAACGTATCACAGTGCTTTAGAGTAGCGTGGCCTGACTCCGACCTGGGGTGGGGGAGGTGGCCGTAAGCACGGTTGGACAGAAAGATTTTTAGTTGGGACTTGAAAGAGGATAGAGAGGGGGCAAGGTGGAGGGATTGAGGAAGAGTGTTCCAGAGTGTCAGGGCATTGGGGCTGAAAGCACGACCTCCGATGGTTGGGCGGAGAGTGTGAGGATGAGCAGGATACCGATGCCAGTCGAGCAGAGGAGTTGAATGGTGGATTGGGGAGTGAGGACGTTGGAGAGGTAGGAAGGTGCCAGAGAGTGTGAGGTTCTTGAAGTGGGGAGCCAGTGGAGCCTGGGCAGAACTGGAAAGATGTGGGTATGGAGTTTGGTCCGGGTCAGTATGGGGGCAGCAGAATTCTGAATGAGCTCGGTCTTGTGAATGGTGGAGCTGGGGAGACTGGCGAGAAGTGCGTTTGAGTAATCCAAGCGGGAGATGACAAACGCATACACGAGGGTTTCACCCTCATTTAGGGTAAAGTACGATCAGAGGTGGGCAATGTTATGGAGGTGGAAAATAGCAGTCCTGGTCAGTGACCGGATGTGAGGGAGAAAGGACAGTTAGAGGTCGAATAACAATTATAATAATAATGACTGCATTTGATAAAGTGCCTTATCACATCGTCAAAGCACATCAAAGTGCTTCCCTGGATATAATAATAGTAATTATCCTTACATTTGATATAGTGCCTTATCACGTCTTCGAGAAGTCTCAATATACTGTAAAGTGAAGTCACTATGTATTTTGTGAGAGAATGTGGCAACCATTTTGTGCACAGCAGTGTCCCATAAACAGCCATAGAGTGAGTGACCAATTTTATCTGGGGGATTGTTGGCCAGGACACTAGGAAAGAAAAATCCCTTCTCTTTTCCAATTGCGCCACAGGATTTTTCCATTCAACTGAACTGGAAAACGGAACCTAGGTTTAATAAAAATATTAGTAATCATTGCATTTGATATAGCCCTTATCACGTCTTCGAGACGTCTCAAAGCGCTTCACAGAATATACTGTAAAGTGAATCGACTGTATATTTTATGGGTGAAACGCGGCAGCCAATTGCGCACAGCAGCGTCCCACAAACAGTCGTAGATTTGAGTATTGTTGGGGATGGGTTCAGACCAAGATTGTATCAGACTGATGACAGTTTACAGTTGGGAGACCACACACAGTGGAACATAACTGTGAAACATGATGTGTCAAATAACTTCCAATAGCCTTTCACCCAACCACTGGGCCAAGAGGAGATTAGCTCCTCTCTGTCACAATTTGTGGGTCAACATCCCTCCTCTCCACATGGGCAGTCTCATGTTTACCCAAAGCAAACTGTTAGTTTCCATTAACCCCCCCGTGTCAAATGTCAATTTGTTGCATTGAAAGCTCGTGAAATCTGCCATTCATTTATTGAGTATTCAGTCCTTTCACTAGCAAAAACAACTAAGTGTGTGTGTGCGTGCGCTTGTGGAGGGGCGTAAGCAGCGTCTCCTTGGAGCTGAACTGACACCAAAGTGACATGCCTGGTAACAGAATATCAGAAGCCAGCCAGCCCTGTGTGACGGTCTCTAGTCCGGTTCCTGAGCCAGGTGGGTCCGCAGTATTCCAGGGCACTGCTGATGACAGCACAGCCCAGCCCGGCTCATCGGAAGGAGCTGGAAGTGTAGACCATCACTGGGAGCAGGGAATCTTCCCACTCAGCTCCTGTTAACCCTACAGCCAAAGCCCTGATGGGTAGGGTGGTCCTAGCTGGAAAAGCAGCAGGAAAACTTGCCGGACAGCAATATCAATGGTAAGCTATGTGTTTTTTGCTGGTCCAGAAGTTACCCCAACACACACACTCTGGCGTCCCCAAGCCTTGACTTAACAACAATGCTATGGAAACCCACAAAGGGCATGAAGCCACCATCTTCTTACTCAGATGCAAGAGGCAACTGAGCCAGGCAATGTTACAATGTCTTCCTAAATTCCAACAACACCTTGCATTTGCACAAAAGACACTCACCTAGGAGAAAACTCTCAGAGGGCTGTAGAGTTGCCGTGATTGGATGCCGAGCAATAATAATAATAATCCTTGCATCTGATATAGCATCTTATCACGTCATTGAGATATCTCAAATCGCTTAACAGGATACACCATATAGTGTAGTGACTGTGTATTTGTGGGCGAATGGGGCAACGAATTTGGACTCAGCAATGTCCCACTCAACAGTGAATGTACAATTTTTTTGCTGGGGAATTGTTGGCCAGGACACCGGGAGAGAGAAACTCCCTCCTCTTTTCCAATAGGGCTGCGGGATCTTTAGCATCCACCTGAACAGACACAGACAGGACCTCGGTTTAAAGTCTCATCCAAAAGACGAAGAGACAAGAGGGGGAAGGATGAAAGAGGGAAGTAGAATATTTCAGGAGAAGGGAATGAGAAAAAGGAGGAGTACAGCAGGGATGGGAAGAGCTGGAAAAGTCACTGTATTATATAGTTATACTGCTAAAAGAAAAACTTATTTATATTTATCAATGTTTATATATACATTATCGGAGTACCCATAGTGTAGTAGTTAGAGCACTCGCCTCACAAGCGAGAGCGCCTTGGGACGTCCTCCCGACTTGAAGGCCGCTCTATAAATGGAATCTTGTTTTTGTTGTTGAGAGACCTGGATTCGATTCCCGGGCAAGTGAAATGTTGGGCTAGTTTCCTTGCTCCACATGCCTCTGTTTGCCTATTTTCCAAGCAGTAAATAGGAACCCAGTCGTTAGTCGATTGGCAGATAGTTTTTCCGGGGGTAATAATTCCTTCAAAAAAAATAATAATAATGACTTGGTCACTTCAATGCACGACTATTCGTGGGACACTGCTGAGTGCAATTGGCTGCCGCGTTTTGCCCACAAAACACAGTCAGTTCACTTTACAATATATTCTGTGAAGCGCTTTGGGACGTCCTCCCGACGTGAAAAGCGCTATATCAAATGCAAGGATTATTATTTATTATTCCGTGAAGCGCTTTGAGACGTCTCAAAGACATGATAAAACGTTATATGAGATGCAAGGATTATTATTATTATAGGGTTCTTTTTTGTTTTTTTTACTCTATGGTTGTTTAGTGGAGCATTGCTGTGCACAAATTGAGTTTATAAAATTTATAAAAATTCTATGAAAAACTATTTTAAAAGTGAACCAACAACAACAGCTTGCAGTTATATAGCAAGTTGCTGTTTTTCTGGGGGTAATAATCCCTCCCCCAAAAAATGCAATCATTTAATCCACAACTGTTTGTGGGACATTGATATGCGCAACCCCTTCATATGGAGTAACATCCCATTGGTAATGGTGGAGTCTGACACCGAGCCAGTGGGGGAGGGAGGAGGGGAGGTGACCATAAGCGCGAACAAAAAGGAAGGTTTTAGGCAGGATTTGAAAGTGGGGGAGGGAGGGGGCAAGGCGGAGGGATTGAAATTAAGAAAGAGCCAGCATTTTTTGTGCTAATTTTACTTACTGTCCCCTCCCCCGCCCCCACCCACCCCCAGCCCCCGTAACCCCCCACCCACCCCCAGCCCCCGTAACCCCCCACCCAACCCCAGGCAGCGCTATCAGGGTTTGACTCAGTCACTCGCCCTCATGGGAAGAAACAAATTGTAAAAGAAACTAAACCAAGACTGACTGAGTCACCTCTGCTTTGGGGGAAGGGGAGGCATAGGAAGAGGGGGGGTGGGGAGAGGCCCGAAAGAAATCAAAGTAACCACATCAAAAGGTTCCTAAGCTTGAAGGAGAGCGTGTCAGCCAGCAGGCTGTCCTGTCTCACCTGAGACACATCCTGTGGACCCTGACCACAATCTCCCGGTTGTTAATTCCCCATAGGGAAAAGCAAGCAAACATCACAGATCACAGGAGAGGCCATAAAAGTTCTCCGTCTCCGCAGTATTCCCAGTTTGATCCATTGAAATGGCTTTTCCGCTGAGAGGCGTGAGCAGCTGTATATTAATAATAATAATGATAACAATCCATTGCATTTGAGATAGCGCCTTCTCCCATCGTTGAAATGTCTCAAAGCACTTCACACCATATATTGTAAAGTGGATTGACTGTGGATTTTGTGGCAGTCAATTACACATAGCAGTGTCCCACAAACAGTCGTGGATTGAATGATCGCATTTTTGGGGGGAGGGATTATTACCCCCGGAAAAAACATCTGCCAATTGACTAACAACTGGGTTCCTACTTACTGCTAGGTAAACAGTGGCGTGTGGAGTATGGAAACTTGCCTAAGATTTCGCCCTGCCGGGAATCAAACCCGGGTCCTCTCGCTTGCAAGGCAAACGCTTTAACTAATACGCTATAGGACTCCATATTTTTAAAAAAATATATTTTTGGAGGGATTATTAC